TGGAGGAGTAGAGTGCTGCATGGTCCTTAATGTCCATATATTCGTCGTGCTCCGATGGCAAGACAGGGTTCAGGCAATGGAAGCTAAACGTGAATTGATTGGTTGGTTGGGAATCAGGTTTCTGTGTGCGTCTTATTTCATTAATCTACGTTGACGGCCTTTCTTAACCAAGATCTTACATTGTTAAGAGGGTTTATGAAGCTCAGTGGTAAGGATGGCTCTGCAATCTGACAATTCCTGCAGAATATGGAGCGACTAGCCGCATGATACTGACCCCACAATAGGCCTCAATGACCTTATATGTCCTCTATTTTCTATAAGCACCAGAGAATTTATAAGCGCAATCGATGTTTAAACGTCCCAAACGCCACGAGTGATACAGCTCCCTCGTATTACGAGCTTCATCTCTCGGTACTCCATTTTTAGAGCTTCCCATTGGAGAGCAACTGGCAAAGATGAAGATTGAAGACGGTGACGCGAAGGATTCGGAAAAGCCCAAGGAACCAGTTGCCGAGCCTCACGAGGAGGCGCCTGCGGAACAGGCGAAGACAGGTCCAGAAAAGGAGGTGGCTGTCGAAGAAAAGAAAGAAGTAGAGTCCAGTGAGCCGAAACCAGCAGAGACTATGGAGGCGGAGGAGAAAGAGAAAGAAGCAGAAGATCAGCCTGCCAACTGAGGACCTGCAGTATGGTGATCTTCATGTTTCCTGAATAGTTACATGCATGCTTAGCTTGTGGGAACCGTCCAACCGCTGTTCAGTTAACCGTTCGTTTGCAGAATGATTGAGTATGTCTCACTCGCCAATATATCGTTTACGGTTGCCCCATATTTGCCCATCTTACTATAAAAGGGCCTGCTGTCTGTCATTATTCCCACCAACCTTCCGCCCTGTAAGATTCTTGTTCTCATTTCCTGCATTTCCAACCCATATTTGGCTTTTATATGTGTATGGTTTTTCATTTCCAGGCTGGTTGCCGACCTCCACAATCAGCAGATCCCTCTGTTTCCAATTTTGCACGGTCACAAATTGCATGTAAAGCAACTGTCTTCTCCCTTCTAGACATTGGTTGGTACTGTGGGTCTTGGAAACTTCGCACTACCTCATGTATGCTGTGATGTACTCGTCTTATGCTTACTGGCTGTTCTAGTGGTTTCATTTTGGAGTCGGGAGTTTGTAGTCTGGTTTGTAGCTTTTGGCGGCTAATCGCCGCTGAGTCGTTACGGTACTCCGAGGTTTATAATCAACACCCTTACCTCTTAAGGTATACAGTTATTCACACCGAGGAGGCAAATAGGCTACTAGACTACTCGGGATGTTTCCCCTCCGCCAAGTGGTGCTTGTTGACTTAATTGTGCTCAAGCCAAATAGTGGGTTCTTCCGATTCGCTGACCAAATCACCCCTACATCCTCCCGCATGGTTTTGTGTGACCGCTTCTAGGGAAAAATGTCTCATCGATAACCTGCCTGCGATAAAACCCAAACTCTTAGATATTCGCTCCGGCTCTCGGCAGGGTGCGTGCTGCTTTATCGATCGAGTTTCGGGCAGGTCTGCACAGTTTCCCCAAAGGGGAAGTTAAGCAAGGACGCTAGTCCAATCGTCTTACTCTTGTTGGAGGTATTCTCCTGTGAACATGAGCGTCATTCGTTAATAAAAACTACCGAAGCAAGCGGTTTTCCATATTTCGCTACCTATCTTCTGTTATTTGCATGGGGTAGGGACGGCATTCCCAGTCGAGCCAATGCAAATCAGGATATCGCCGCAAGGATTTGCGGGTACCACTACAGGTACTGGTCAAAGTCGGAACAATACATA